TTGTTGATGTACATTTGGAAGGTCCAAGTTGTCATTTGGTGTTTGAAACAATCATTCATTTATTAACTTGGAGTCCAATTTACTGCTCCAATTTCAAGCTCAAGTGTAGTCCTTGTAGTTCATGTTCAGTTCGTCGTTGGTTAAAATTTAAGCACAAGTATGGTCCCCTGTTCAGTACAAATTTAAGCAGCCTCTCGGCGTCTCCCCTGTGTAGGAAAAATTTTGGGAGACTAGCCTTCCTCTCCACGCTACATGAACGCTTCAGGTAGATGTCAGATGACATCGCAACTGTATTTTATTCAATCTCCACTACTCTACATGAGCGTTCCAGAGATTACCCACCTCATCATAAGCGTCACACCGATTTCCCTCTCACCGTGCTGCGTGAGCGCACAGGAAGATTTGCCAGCTCGTTGCAAGCATCGAGAGCAAAATTTTTGGGTTAAAAATTATACCTTTGCAATGGTTGGCGGCGACTAGCAAAGATGCATACGAAGTTATTTCCCCTCTCTTTTCTTTTCTTTTGTTTTTTTTTTTTTTTTTTTTTTTTTTTTTTTTTTTTTTTTTTTTTGAAACACTTTCTTTTTTTCTTCTTTTTTACTTTTTATCTTATTTCTTCTTTTAATTTGCTCTCTCCCCCCCTTCTTTTTTTGCAAATATTGACAATACTAATACTAACAATAATAAAATAAGAGGGGAAAAATATTCTCTATTAGATAGAATAGGGGAGGAAAGTTTGCTCTCATTTGTTGGTGATTCATGGTATGAACTACTAATTAACCACTTCTACACTTTTCCTCGAGAAATTTCCAACATTAAACTTGAAGACTGGTCTTCCCGGAATTGAAGGAGTGTCTAATCTCTTATGCAAGCCAAGAGAGCTCTGTCTTTCCTTCCTTCTCTGAGCAGAGGGCTCAAGGAGGCACCTTTTGATATTTCTTCCCTTGACATTCATTATTGGAAATGTTTTTAAAAAAGTTTGAAGTTTCCCTTAGGTTGTTCTTGCACAATGGTTAGTTTAAAGCTTTTGATAATGAGTTCCCAATGCTGCGTACATGAAGCTTGAATCAGCACCTAATGTTGATTTCTCTCTGTGACTTGAAAATAGACTCTTGTAGATTTATAGGGTATTTAACAATCATAAGAGAAAGGCTTGAATAGATTACTGAGTTGGAGCTCGAGGAATCCCTAGACTCTTCTCCATAGTTTCTAGGATTACACATTCTTTTATAGTAAAAGAACTAGTTTAGCTTCCCACTCCCATATATAGAAGTTATATTTACTTCATTTACCCCTCTCTTACAAACTGGGCATTCCTTATGGTCAGAATGGACATGAAGCCATGGATATAAGCAAGGCCAACAAAAGAGATGGCCACATGACGTAACAATAGTTTCCTTGGCTATGTCAAAGCAGACATTACAGTCGAAGTTAGTTACACATCTATTTTTCTCCTCTGCTTCTTTCTCAGAGCCCTCTGTGGCTAAGGACAGATGTGAACTTGTTATTTCTAGCATCAACTATTCATGACTAGGTAAAGAATATCGAACAAAATCTGTTCTTTCAGAGCGACGTAAAAGTGATTGCCTAAGAGAATTTTGCCTCCAACCATGGGATTCAATCAACCTTCGAATCCCAATCTCAGGACACCGAAGCATGTCCTGTTGTGACGAGGACCCATCAGCTCTAGAACATAGTTCACTGCAATTTTGTGATAGAAGAGAAAGGAAAGCATCAAAATTTTCATCATCGTGGGAATCTGCCCCCCTATAACCAAAATCAGATATCTCGTATATACAAATGACGGCCACCACGAGTACTAAATGTTGCACAGGATAATGTTGCAAGTTATCAATCAATATACATGGGGAGATTATTGATGAATGCAACCCATTCATCAGTCAATGTTAATATCAAAGTGAATGTGCTATATCATCCCTACAAACATACAATTTCATGCCGCAAATGATACGACATATTCATGAGTAAGGTATAAAGGACGTTTAGCAGATGAAGCAACTGCCTTACACCACCTCTACCATCAACATCAGAATATAAGCAACCATATTCAACCTTGTAAGCTATAAGAAACAATGGTTATCGAAGATGTATGCGAAAAGTTCAAGTGACCTTCTTGCAAGTAGATATCAAATTAGAGAGACAACAAGGATATTACAACACTCCAACAATCAACATCAAGATACAAGTAAGGAAATTGATATGCATACAATAAAGAATGAAGATCTGTAATACATATAATCTTTATACAAATACAGATGTATGTATAACATGTCATTTATGGTCAGGTAGATGTATAAAGACTTCAGTAAATACAGTAAACTGAAGTCAATTTCAGTCTATGAAGGAAGACATCTACCTACCTACATGCAGCAGTAGCGGATGCACTCAAAAGACCAAAGATCACAACAAAATGTATGAAGAATATGACAAGTGAAAGTTCTTATGATCCAAAGCAAGAGATTCGTTAGTACACTACAATCCACATGCAGAGAGCAATGAGTAGTGTACGACAATCCACCTATACGAAGCAGTGAATAATTCTATTCAGAAGATACTACGCCACGCCACTAGATCTGTAACACTTATGTAAGTAGACAGAAGGCATCTACAATCTACAATGCAACGCTACCAGATCAGCAACTCCTATGCAAGTGGACAGAAGGCGTCTACGAATACTTTCAAAATACCCCCACACGTACACCGTAGTTTGTATACACATAAGTACACAAAAGGGATAAATGTAATCAAATACCTATAAGGGCCCCGGCGAGCGTATTATTGGTACACACGTGACGTCTATGGATGCTGCGCGGGTTATTAAATTTAAACATGATCCTCCTAGGTAGGTAAAAAGGAGTAGACATGGTTTAATTACAAAATGCCCCCAAACACTCACATGGGCCCCGACGAACGTGTTATTAGTACACACGTGACATCTAGGGATGCTGCGCGGGTCAATAAGTGAATTCAAGTTTGAACCCGATCCTTTTATATAGATCAATAGGAGTCGACATGGCTCAAACCTTCAAATAAATACATGGTTGTGGAGAATGGTGTATTTATTTCAATGGATTCATATTAGGCCTTCAAGGCTTACAATCAAAAGAATTCACTAATAAAGGCTCAAAGCGTACGAAACTCGATCATCTGTCGATAGCTAGATAGAGTCGACAAGGTTCAAGCTATAAAAGAGAAATTATCCCAAACACCCCGATGATGGCCGTATTGAATGCAGATCTCAACCGGAGGGGTTCTAAAATATTTTTAAATGTCTCCCAAATATCCAAAGTTCATTTCAAATATTCCAAAGCTCCACCCAAAATACCCATAAAAATCTAAAAATCCCAAAAATATTTAAAATTGAAATAAACCCATCAATGCTTGAAGCAAAATCCATCCATCCTCCGCAACAGTTTGCCGAGGTGGATAAATTTAAATATAACTTCAGCTCACAAAAAGCCAAATACCTAGTCAAAAATATTACTATGATCTATTCTCAAAATAGTCTCCTACTAGTAAGAACATGGTACGTGTCCTCTGACCGGCGGTTCGCCGCCAAATTGCACTGCGGGATAAATGGTTATGACCCGGGGCCCTTTGAACCGAGTGGTTTTGCCACCAAATGACACCACGAAATATCGGTTATGGCCAGTGTCGTTACATTCCTTATTAGCATCAAATCCTTGAGAAATGAATCAATAGGATATGATCGACATGGCACAAAGCCCTCTGTCAGCTAAGGTGGATTCAAATTTGTCCCCTTAGACAAACATTCACCCCAGGTCTACAATGTCCTCTTGGACGAAGCAACCCATGGCTGCCGACAAGGATCCTTCTGTCAGGTTGGGTCGACTACCTACTCTGACTAAGTAGACCAAGGACCACGATGGCTCAGGACGACGGAACCATGGGATCTTGATCGAGTCTATCATCCATTCCCCCATCATCCGTTTTAAGTGCTATATGGTTAAATTTTTATTTTAAATATAAAATCTTAAACTTCCAAATTTCATACCCATTACTGCTACTATATTCCAGATAACATGTATTCTCTATATATCTAATTGACGACTAGCCTTAATCGAAAGTTCTCTCTCGTGATCGGGAGGGGTAATTAACTATAGGGGCTTGCGCCTATAGGAAACCAGAACTCAGATCATAAAGTCCTCGCAAAATGAGGACGAAATCTCTGGGTAGTGTCTTATCTACAAACCCATATGCCTTCCAAAATTTACCTCAGAACTTATTTTGTTAAAACTTCCTCGCCAAAATAAAAAGCACAATCAGCGCGGAGGGGACGCCAGGGCCAAATTTTTGGTTTCGCCCATAGATTTCTGGCGACTCTGCTGGGGATTGGTTTCTCTTTCCATCTTTGGCTAGTCTTCTAAATACAATAGTAGCAGTTAAAAAAAAGTAATGATAATATTGAGCTCTATACGGTGAACATCAGGACGTGATAATTAGTTCTTATATCCAAAATGCCGTCACTGAGAGGTCTCGATAGAGGGAAAAGTAAACATATGTTATGATGGTAGAGTAAAGAAGGAATAAAGATATGTATGGTGAGCATCAATGTGTGATACTTGGATGCATATCCAAGAATCCACCGCCGAAAGGTCCTGACATAAGTGAAAATAATATAGAGACACACATATCTAGAAAAAATATATATTCAAAGAATGGTGTGACATCTAGTGTGTAACCCTAGAGATCCACCATTAAAGAAATTCATCAAAAGTGGGACCTAAAGAGGATCCGTACAAACAATATTTTTGATGGTTAGAATCTTGAAGAATTCTCCAAGAAATCCCATCATTTTTCAATTATATCTTCTCAGACTGAAGAAGATAGTACAACCTTCATCAGTGCCCTTCTACTAGAAGATCAAGTGGAAGAAATAAAAATACTTCTCTATGAATTCAGGGACTGCTTTTCCTGGACATATGCTGAGATGCCTAGCTTATCCCCTGATATAGCAGTTCACAGATTTTCCATCTGCAGCACCTGTTAAACAAGCTCCAAGAAGAATAAGATTGGAGATAAAAGAACAGTATATTGCCAAAACGAAGAAACTCATAGAGGCAGGCTTCATCCGAGATGAAAAAGTATGCTGATTGGATTGCTAACATTGTCCCTGTAAAGAAGAAGAATGGACAAATTCGTGTCTGCATTGACTTTAGGGACCTCAACAAAGCATGCCCAAAAGATGATTTTCTACTCCCTGTATCAGAACTACTAGTGGATAACACGTCTAACTATGACATATTTTTGTTTATGGATGGATCATCAGACTATAATTAGATCAAGATGGCTTCTGATGATGAAAAACACACATCGTTCGGAACGCCCATCGGTATTTTTTGTTACACTGTCATGCCCTTTGGCCTGAAGAACGCTGGTGCCACCTACCAGCGGGCGATGACTCACATATTTAATGATTTAATACATCAGAATGTCGAGTGGTATGTAGATGACCTTATTGTTTAAAGTCTTGGCCGAAATGATCACTTAAAAGATCTCAAAATTGTATTTGAGAGAATAAGAAAATTTGATCTGAAGATGAACCCTCTCAAATGTGCTTTTGGGTTCTCCTCCTACAAATTCTTGGGATATGTTGTTCGTCATCAAGGTATAGAGATCGACCCAATAAAATTAAGGCAATCACAGATATGCCACCCCCAAAGAACCTTCGACAGCTTCACTCGCTGTAAGGACAACTGGCTTTCATTCGGAGATTCATATCAAATCTATCAGGTAGGTGCCAACCATTTTCAAAGATAATAAAGAAAGATGTCCGTTTCAAATGGGACACAGAATGCCAGGAAGCATTTGACAGCATCAAAAGATATCTGTTGAATCTGCCCATTCTCGCAGCGCCAATTTCGAGGAAGCCTCTTATACTATATACGGCTGCATTAGAAGAGTCCCTCGGAGCACTATTGGCCCAGAATAATGAAGAAGGCAAGGAAAATGCACTCTACTACATTAGTCGAAGGATGATTGGAGCATAAAGTCGTTATTCTCCTATTGAAAAGCATTGTCTGGCGTTGATTTTTGCAGTTCAAAAACTTCGCCACTACATATTATCTCACAAAATCACACTGATATCAAAGATCGATCCGCTAAAGTTTTTGATGACAAAACCAGCATTGACAGTTCGTCTGGCCAGGTGGGCAGCATTATTATTACAGTTTGATATCACATACATGCCATAAAATGCAGTGAAAGGGCAGGCCTTAGCAGATTTTCTCGCTGCACATCCTATCCCATCAGACTCTCCTCTTAATAATGATTTTCCTGACGAACAAATCATGCAAATTGAGAAAAATAAGAAAGTACCATTTTGGGAGATATATTTTGATGGAGCATCATCTATTAAGCCTGCCTGACCTCCAAACATTGCAAGGGCTCGAGCTGACATCGGTCTCATTTTTGTAGCACCTGAAGGAGGCATAATGAGGTTCTCATTTGGTTTGACTGAACCTCGTACCAACAATGAATACGAGTATGAAGCTCTATTAGCAGGGCTGGAGATTGCGATCGATGTCAGAATCCAACATCTTCAAATCTTCGGTGATTCTCAGCTCGTGATAAATCAGGTCCTTGGTATCTACAAGGTAGGCAAAGTCAAATTGGCCCATTACCACCGGCGAGCTCTCAAACTTCTAAAACAAGTTTCAAATGTTGAAATAGCTAGAGTTCCTCAAGGACAGAATGCTAAAGCAGATTATCTAGCTAAATTAGCCAAAGAAATGACAAATATTAATGAGGAGCGGCCTATATTCATTGGAGTTTACTCTCGAAGAGTCTTGGAACCCGCTTTATTACAATTTCTGAGGGTAAAAGAAATACCAGATTCAAACCAGTAAGATAAAATGTCAGTTGACCCTCAATCCCTCCATCAGATTGTTATGGAGAATTATCCAAAAGAGTATCATGTGGCCAAGAGACGTAAAGCTAGTCAAGCTTCAGAATCGTGGTGGCATTGTTTAGATATTGAAGTTGAAAATGATTGGATGCAGCCATTCATTGACTACTTCAAAGAAAACAAACTCTCGACAGAAAGGTCTATGGCCGCACAAATTTGAAAAATGGCGTTGTGATACGCATTTGTCAATGACACGTTGTACATACGAGCTTTTGATCAAATGTGGCTAAGGTGCCTAGGGACCAAGGAAGCTGATAAAGCAGTATCATAAGTCCACGAAGGGCTTTGTGGAGCACATCAGTCAGGTCCCAAAATTACTGCTAAAATCAAGAGAATGGGTTATTATTTATCGATAATGGTAAAAGATTGTATCGACTACGCTAAGAGGTGCCACGAGTTTCAAATATACGGTGATGTTATACATCAGCCTCCAAATCCACTGCACCCAACAATAGCATCCTGGCCATTCGAATGCTGGGGTACAGATATAATCGGTCCGATAGATCCGCCGTCTTCAGCTGGACACCACTTTATTCTGGCAGCAACAGACTACTTCTCCAAGTAGGCAGAAGTAGCTCCATTCAGAAAAGTCACATCGGAGCATGTGATCAACTTTTTCACCCACAACATTATTTACAGATTTGGTGTACCACGCCGCATAATCTCAGATAATGGTACAACCTTCAAAAGTATAAAATTTTATAAGTTCGTTGATCGGCACAAAATCGATTGGCGATATTCATCCATATACAATCCAATGGCAAATGGATTGGCTGAGGCCTTCAACAAGATACTGGTGAAACTATTAAAGAAAATCTTCACTAAGAACAAAAGAGAGTGCCATACGAAGATGGCAGAAGCGCTATGGGCATACCGTACAACCTACAAAATGCCAACTAAAGCCACTCCTTATTCTCTTGTGTTCGGTGTTGAAATTGTATTACCATTAGAGATCGAACTACCGTCACTTTGGGTAGCAATTCAGAATAATCTCACTCAAGAGCAAAATGTCCGCCTCAGAATGGAAGAGCTTGAAGCACTTGATGAACTCAGGTTACAAGCTCAACAAAACCTAGAAATCTACTGAGGAAGAATGGCAAAATCCTTCGATCGTATGGTGCACCCTCGGGCATTTCAAGAAGGGGAATTAGTCCTAGTGCTGAGAAGGCCAATAATCCCACGCCGAAAAAATCGGTGGCAAATTCGTATCCAATTGGGAAGGCCCCTTCGTCATCGAGAAAGTGTACCAAGGAGGATCATATCAATTGATCGATCTGAATGATCAGAGGCCTATGCCACCTATCAACGGCCGACATTTAAAGAATTATGCATGAGAATTTCATGACTAATATACTTTGTGATGAGCAAAGTTTTATGTGCATAGTTATCAGTGCATACTTACATCAATATTTTGAAATTCTCTTGTATAACAAGGATGCATTTCAAAATCCTCCATCAGACTGAGGGTATTTTAAATATTTATTAGAGTCGACATCGTGCTACGTGCCAAGATCTCTGAATAAATATTTAAAACTTCAAAGATACAAAGCCTATCTAAAATATCCCTACAAGACAGGGGGTATTTTAAATATTCATTTGGGTCGACATCATGTCACACGCCGAGATCCCCAAATAAATATTTAAAATCTCAAAATTCCAAATTTATTCTATTATGAAATGTCCCTGTGAGACAGGGGGCATTTTAAATATTTATTCGGGTCGACAATGCGTTGCGTGCCGAGATCCCTGAATAAATATTTAAAATTATCAATTCAAATATCCTTTTATGCTAAAGAATACAAAGATCTTCTTTTTCAAAGTATATGCAGGTGATCTTTCAAAAGCTAGAGACATCACTTTATCCAATGAACAAAGACTCAAAGGTAAAAAAAAAGAGACTTTTGTGGCTACACACTCCAACAAACTGAGCCGAAGAAGATTAAAGTCTTTCAACATCCTGAAGCTTAAGGTTCGAATGGGTGTAAAAGTTCGAATCTAACAAGCCCAAATATGGCCTGATCGTTGGCAGCTCCGTCTACTCAACAAGCCATAAGAAAGGACGTAGTAGCGAAACGCCCACTTCGCCAACCCGTCAGTTGGGACTGTAGGAAGCACGAAGGAAAATTTGACTCGACAAGTTCAAGTGATCGTAGTCTATCAAATTCTCCTAAATGACTGGAGAATTAAAGTTGCAATGGAAAGATGAGTCTTGAGCAACTACCAAATGTTCGTAGACTCCAAATTTATAACCACAAAGGATGACTCCAAATCTGTCAACTTCAGTAAAATCAATATTGGGAAGCGTAATTCCCATAGCTCAAGTTCGAAGCCTGAATGGGTGTAAAAGGTCGGATCCAACACACCCAAATATGGTCGGATCGCTGGAAGCTCTATCTACTCAACAAGGCATAAGAAAGGCCGTAGTAGAGGAACCCCATCTCAGCAACCAGAAGATAGAGAGCTGTCAAATCCTAGCTCTCCCAATCTGATGAACTCAAGTGATTCAGATTAAAGTCTTCTCAAGTGGTTAAGGATCAAGATACTACCTACATTCGGTACTATCAACTGAATCTAGAACCCGCAAATCCATCAACAAATTCATATAGCACAAAGTGAGGATCGAAGGAATTTTTCTTCAACAAGACCACCAAAGCACAAAGCAAAGGGCCGAAGAAAACTATCCCAAAGTTCATACAAAGCCCAAGGCTGAACTAAGTGGATTTCATCATCAATAAGTCTGCTATGCACAAAGCTCTGGACTGATGACTTTTAGCCACTGACCTAATATAAATCTAAGGGTTTAGGTCACTGACATCTACTCCTTCAACAAGCCCGTCAAAGCAAGAAGCATAGGGCCGAAGGTATAAATCTCCTGACAAACTAATAAAGATAAATCAGGTAATCCTCCATTTATTCCCACAGCACAAAGCACAGAACAGAAAGAATTAGAATCTCAGGACTCAAGTCAAAGTCATGGAATGAGCACCCTGGACGATACCTACAAATGTCCTTAAAAGACTGGGGCATTTTAAATATTTGTTTGGGTCAACATCGCGCAGCATGCCAAGATCCCATAAATATTTAAAATACCAGTAGCACGAGTCAGTGTACAACCATAGAAGTCATAAGAACAGCAAAAAGAGAGCTCGTCAACAACTGAATTTATAAAATAACTTTATTTTATTA